TGTCTATTAAACTGTGCAGAACAGTATGTATTACAATTACTATATTAATGCAATGGTTGTTGTCGCTTGTTTTTACTATTATGCATTGTTATGATACTGTACATGACGTCCTCCACCCCGGAACGTTTCCGCCATCGGTTTTGGGGTGTGACATATAATCACTAATTATATATATATATATATATATATATATATATATATATATATATATATATATATATATATATATATATACATATGTCTTCATATGTTATTAGGGTCATTGAATGTGTACAAGTCTTCACTTGACTCCAAGCACTCGTCCGACACTTCCTTCTGATCCGCTCACTGCAGGTGAGTTCATACCCCTTAAATTAACCTTTTAAATATTTCTAAATGTTTTTAAATGCTTTATGGGGGGATACAAGTTGAATCATGCTAGTTATTATATCAATCTCATGTGATTAATAACTAACATCCAAATGGATTTACCATACATTAACTATTTTACCAAACAGACTTCTTCAAATGATTTTCTTAAAAGTTGTTATATGTTTAAAACACCTTATTAAACTGTTTTACACACTGTATGTTTTCCTTTTAAACTCTGTTACAAATATATTTCAAACAAAGGTTTTTCATTATACTTAAACTGTTTTATCAAACAAATATTTTCAAATTGTTTTATAAACTGACATCAAGTCATCGTTTCTTGGTATTAGACTTTTCAAAAGTTTTACAAAACTTATTTTATGCTTTTATATTATAAATTGCATGCCCATATATGTATAGTTATATAAATAATGTTTAAAGGACTTAGGAAGGCTAACTCACCTTATTTCCTTTTCCTCGTTTGGATGTGGCTTAAGGGTATCGGTTACCCATCTGAATGTCGTCTAAATATTATTTATATATATCATGTATACATATATAGACATAAAAATTCATACAGTCAGTTCAGTACCTTTGGGTAGAAAAGGCATACTTTCGGTTATATGCGTACATTACCAGTAACTATAATAGGTATAGTTAGGAGATATTACTTACCATTCCAAGTTCAAGGAATCACAGAAGAGTCAGTTCATTCATGAGTCTATTCTAATACTTTACATGAGTACATTTAAATAGATACGCTTACATGAGTACGTTTACATAGATACGCTTACATGAGTACGTTTACATAAATACGCTTACATGAGTACGTTTACATAGATACGCTTACATGGATACGCTTACATAAGTACGTTGACATAGATACGCTTACATGAACACGATTACATTAATACGTTTAATAGATACTATTACATAGAATCTGTTACAGACGTTTCAGGATTTACCATTCCACACCCAAAAATGTTAGCTATAGTAGGGAAAAGGAGCATCGACGGGTGTCCGAGGTTGTACTTTTCGGTGAGTTTCCATGCCGTGAATATCCTAGTACAAAAGGATACATTCTTTTAGTTATGATCTTATTTTTCATTCCTTTACTTTGTGACACATTCACATGAACGAAGAGATAGGATATATTTGATATAGATAAACTATTTTCCTTATTACCTTTATATTGTGACTCATACACATAAACGACGAGGTAGGCTATAGTTTTATACTAATAGTTTAAATAGGGAAAAACTGTCACATTTACAGTGATACTTACTTACAAAACAGTCGGGTCTTGGTAGAAGACTACTTGTATACTAATAGAAAATATGGGATTTTCTAGGGTTGTCAAACGTTTACGATTACTTACAAACATTTTCATACATATACAAACTTTTCTCCAAATGTCCAAAGTCTTTACTTTACAGTTTTACAAATCAAAGACACATTAATACTTATGAATTCACCAGCTTTATTGTTGATACTCGCTTTCAAAATAACTTGTGTTCTCAGGTCACCAATAGACAGGTACGACGACCAGGTTTTGTGAAGGCGGAGCAGTCAAGACTCGTCTTTTACTTTGATCATTCATTATGTTGTTTATGCTATGAAAGAACATACTTGTAATTAAAATTATATTATTAATGAAATGGATGATGTTGTTGCTTGTTTACTACTTTGCATTGTTGTGATACTTTACTTGACGTCCTCCACCCCAGAACGTTTCCGCTGTTCTTGGTTTTGGGGTGTGACATATTCTACCATGCTCCACGTCCTCACTTCTTCTTAGCCCCTGCAAATCAGAACAAAATCCGCATCCCATAACATGGACCCAATAACTAGAAGATGATGAGTTGTTAGATAGGATGGTGTGTATACCTGTAGAAGTTGGCTTCACTTTGCCATCTTTAATATCTTGTAGATACTTTGGGAAGATTAGTTTCCAATGTCCTTTATCGTTTCATTAAAAGCAAGTGGCCTATTTGGGATCAGAGACAGGGGGAGCATCAGTACTGGATTTACCTTTGGGTCCCTTGATGACCCAGCTTGAGATTTTCCCTTCCAATTTTGCTTTGGATGACCTTTCCTCTTTTTCTCTTTCCCTTGACCAATGGCTAGAATAGGATCACTAGTAGGAGTGGAGGCAATACTCTTTCCCTTCATTCCTACTTCAGTTGTTCGCAGGAGGTTGTGTAATTGAGCCAAATTGGTCTTATTGTTATTCAGATGATAGGTCAAGATGAACTGATCCTAACAAATTAGTAAGGAGTTCAAGACTATGTCAATAGCCAACTCCTCAGCAAAATGCACCTTAAGCCTAACAAGACGATCCATGTATCGTTGCATCCTTTGCACGTGGCTACTAACAAACTCCCCCTCTTTCATTTTGCTTGCTATGAGGGACTTTACCACCTCGTACTTTTCTTGACGAGCTCACTTATGGTACTTTCCCATAAGTTCCTTGTTCATCTTGTACGACCATTAATCCTTATAGAATCTCTGCAATTCAGGAGTCATGGTGGCTACCATGATGCAAGCAACTTTTGTCGCATTATTGTAGTGCTTCTTATAGGCGGATAATTCTTCAGGAATGGCCTTCTCTTCATCAATCTCATTAAACTCTTTTTCCAGGACATACTCCTTGTCCTCGAGACGAAGGACCGTCTTGAAGTTACGCATCCAGTCAGTATATAGTTGGTGTCATCCAATGTCGCCTTAGAGCAGATGTTCAACAACGAAAAGTTATGGGAGGAAGAGGAGGAACCAGAAGCATCATTTGAAGTAGACATCTGAAAAAGGAAGGTGGTTCTAGTGAAATAAGAATAATCCTTAATATAACAATTCAAAAATGAAATACTAAGGCTAGGATCCAACTACGTTTTAAAGCGATTTCCACCAGCGAAAATGCTTATTTACATGAGATCCTATACATAATGGAACACTACGATATGTTTTTTATGGATGAGAATTTTTCTAGATATTAATAAGATTGGAAACTATGTAATATAAATAAAAGAGATCAGAGGATTTACTTGTTTTTTCATGATTTGAAGATTATCAAGCTTATTTCAATTAATTATATATGTTTTATAATTACTTGGTGAGTTATAATATATATATATATATATATATATATATATATATATATATATATATATATATATATATATATCATAATTACTTCTAAGTTATACGTGGAAAGGCCATGATCGGTGGGTTTTATATCTTGTGGCACCACTAAGTGTGATCAACATATCAAAATGTTGTCGATCAAGATTTATTGTTTTATATCTTGTTCGGTTAACTTAAATGGACAAACATGAACAAGATCATGTTCATGTTCGTTCGTTCCTTTTACAACTATAGTTGGGTGTTTTGAATCTTCAAAAACAAGATGTTAGGAACTGACTTATATACGTCATATGGGTAGTGATAAAAAAAAGTTTAAGATCCCTTTATAACACACCATAGAAGTAACATGCCATCAATGCAGTGCATTAGACCAACATCGAAGCCAAAACCGATGCCAAACTACAGATATTGCAACCTATTGTCCCACTCAAAAAATTGGAACAAAGTGGACCATAAACTTATTCTCAAGTAAATACCATTCTCGCCCTCATAACTAAAAATAGTTGTTCCACCTTCCTTCATTCCTCCGGTTAGTAAAATCTTATATTCTTCGTTTATTGTCCCAACATGGGGATGTCGTTTTCTATTGTACGATTTTTCCTATTTTCACCAAGTACTTCTCCGAAACCATTTCATGATAATATGATTGTGTCGTGTCTATCAACTAATCCCTTAAAACAATTCCACCATTAGAATGTTCTTATGTTGGGTTGTCACACCCCATTTGACCCTTTGTGTGACCTTACATAATTGCATTCATAAGATTATATTCATCTTGTCTATAACACATAGATCATGTAACTATTTTACTCATTCCAATGTACCATGTTACCGTGAGTGATGTATTTCAAACTTGTTCTAGTTCCATTCGATTGTTGTAGTTCTAATCTCATCATTGGAATCATCTGTCTTATGCCCTAAATTCCATTTTCCCTTAGCTTCCTTGTCTCTTCTAAATGTTGTACTATATCATATTTTTTGGTTCTCCAACTATTCTTCCTTCTCATTTGGCAAGAAGTGACCCAATTGTAGGCCTTGAATTCTTCAAATGATGGCATGGTAGAATACACCTCCTTTTATATGTTGATGCTTCTTTGAATTTGTCAAATCATATTTTCTTCCTTCAAGCATAAACCGAAACTACCATGTATGACTTGATGGATTTCCCCTCAAACATTAGTTTCCATAATATTCATCCCACGAGACATCCACATGTTAGATATAAGAAAATAATTAAACATCTAGAGACCTAAGCACATAAATCTCTCACTTTTTTTTTTTTAAAAAAAAAAAAAAGGCAAATATGATACTTAGAAGCATTCTCTACAACAATCATAGTTTGGACACTCTTATATAAGAGCAATGGTAAAGACATCAACTAACAATGAATCATGTCAACCTACCAATATTCTCTAGGTCTATATATTTTGGTTCCTATCAAAGTGTCTTTTATTTATTTCAGTTCAAAAAGTAGACATTTTTTTTAAACCAAAATCTTGATAATTTGAATCCATTTAAAAAAAAAAAAAAAAAAAATTGTGAAAGATCTAGTCTTGTTTTTTCCTTCTTGATGCTATCTCTGAAGCCCAAGCTTTACCAAGATCAGTCTGAAACTTGCCTGCATGCAATACATAAATAAATCATTCTTCTAGCTAATTTTTTACTTAATGAAGGGTAAAATGGTCATTTACTCTCGTTCACATGGTTCAACATGAGAGTTTCACTATTAAATAGTAACTTTTAATAAACTTGATCTTGTTTGCTTTTCCTTCTTTTAATTTGCATAATAAAGAGAAGGATTTCAATTTCATGGTATAATTGTATCCCAGTAATTCAAATCTTGTAATTTAGTTATAGAGAATATATTAATATAAATATCAGTAATTTATAATAAAAATAAATGAAAAGTCTCTTACCTGCTGTAGACTGAAAAAATTCTTCCAAATCTTTATCTTGTTCTGCATAAAAAATAAAACTTAATCACCTCTGCAATATTATTTCAAATAATACCAAAAACACCCTCATCCAGAAAAACTTACCCTTTTCATATTCCAGAGCTTGAAGTATCATCTCAATCTGAATGCATAAAAAACCAAAATCAGTTATTATTAATAATAATACACACACAACAGAATAAAAAAAATAAAATTAATAACTATCCCCTCTATATTACATATATGATTCAATACCTTATCAAAGTCCTTAACAACTTTAGCTTCATTTGTGGAATTTTCCTCATATTCCATCCATAATTCATGTATCTCCTCAGCTGTAATATAAAAAGATATCTAATAATTAAAGTATTGCACTTTAATTTATAATAAGAAGAAATGAAATGAAAATGCTATAATGAACTAATAAAGGAAAGTAGATTGCTATATCTTGCATCATGTAAGAGTGTATGCACCTCGTGGGCCCCCACCAAGAAGTTTGCACATTTGGTCTAATGCTTCTTTCTCCCTCCTACTCTTTTCAAGCTTTGGGATTCCATCTGATGGAGTGATGTCACCAACAATGGCTATCAAAGTAACACAGAAAGTAAGAGAAAAGAATCTGAAGGGTATAAGTTACTGAGAATGGAAGCAATAAAGATGACAATGTTTAGGATTTTGGGGTAATATTGAGTACCTTCTGCAATATCATGCACAATTGCCATTTTTATACACCTGGAAGATGAAAGCAAGAAGATTAGAATTAGCCATAAGAGTATAACGCCATTTATGATGTTGACATGATTTCAAACAATGCATGATATGATATCAATATTCATTATTCATCTAACAAGAAAGAAACTAACTTGTCCCTGTTGATCCCAGGAGTATCAGATGCAATGAGAGCCATTAATCCCATCCTGTACATGTGATCTGCAATAGATTCAGGGCCCTTAATGTCTCTTTTCACCCATCCTGCTCTTTTGGTTGACTGAAAGGCGAAAATTGCAAATCAAGATACCAATAACCAAATTTGGAAAGGAACAAACTCAAATGGCATCGGTATGAAGAAATACATAAATGTTTTGTTATATATGTCAGTTATCAATCGCCATCGGCTGACGCAGACAATGTTTAATTAGAAATCCAAAACCCTATCTATAAATATAACGGATTCAGTGTTTGGTTCCACAAAGCTACGACAGTATAAGAGCAGAATTGACATGATTTTGCCCATATAATGTCATATTGAGGCGTAAAAAGGACACAAGTAAAATGGTACAGAAGGTGAGAAGGATGATACGGATGTAAGCTGGGTTAAACAAACAAAACACCTTATTTTGCACGATTATCGATCTGAAAACGAAAATGGAGAATGCAGGGTTCGATTCGTATACGATTCACATTCACTTAAGTTGAATATATGATAATACCTTTAGGCGATGGCAGAGAGACAAGAAATCGATGGCGGACGAAGGAGAAGGTGCTGATGACGATGATGATGATGAGTCGGATGCCATCCTGCAAACCCTAAAGGAAGAAGATTTGAAAATTTTGAAATGAAAGGAAGATGAAGATGGAGGCAATTTTAAGAAGGATTTAGTGGTAATGGTAGTGAAAAGGAGCCGGCTCATGTTTGTTTGTTTACTGGTTACTTACTTTCGTTGTTTGGTTCACGGATTATATTTCCCGGTACCGGTCCGTTAAGGCGTTAACTCCCAACCGGCCAACCCAATCTGGATAACCCTAACCAATCTAGCACTAAATTTATTTGGGACTCAATAAAAATATATATATATATATATATATATATATATATATATATATATAATATATATATTATATATATATATATATATATATATATATATATATGGTAATATATTTATTTTTTATTTGGGACTCAATAAAAATATATATATAAATGGTGATATATTTTTTGATTTGTATTAAGTTTATTTTTTATCTATATTTACTCTTCAACTTGTTAAACTGTACATATTTAATCCTTATGACCCGTTATTTCAGATTAGCCGGTAAAAATATCTTAATAAGGTAATATATTTCTCATTTTGTACACATTTAGTCCTTAACATTTTTGTACATATTTAGTTCATAATTTTTTTATGTTGCAAAATATTTTTTTTTATTTTTGTATTCATTCAATACTTGTGAATATTTTTTGTAAGTTTTTCTCACAACATCTTACATGGAACAATCATTAACAATGTGTTTTAGGTTTTTGATGCTTATGTCCATTGCGATCTCGACTATTTAATTGCTTAGATTATGTGTTTTGAACGTCAAACTTTTTCATACTATCTCGGATATTAACGATCTTTATATTTATGCGTTTGTATTTTAGTCAACTATAACTTTCGTTTAAATTACTCTTGCTAGAAAGTAATATATTTTTTTAATTATGATCTTTATTTCCATACGATTTTTATGAATACATGTAAAGATGTTTTTCTATAAAATCGTAAGTAAAAACATATTATATTTTAAGGGGTGTAATCTTAACAAAAGTTATATCAGACTTAAAAAACGAACACGTAGATATAAAAATCATTAAAATCAGATATCGTATGAAGAAGTTACGACGTTCAGAATACAAAAACCTAAGTCAAACCACAATACCTATGCAACCAAGCAGTCGATATCGCGATGGACATAAGCATCAACAGCCTCAAACATCTCATTAATGATAGTGTCACGTTAGATGTCGTGAGAAAAAACCCTAAATAAATCATTCATAAATACTTAATTAGTAAAAAAAAAAAAAAAAAAAAAAAAAAAAAAAAAAAAAAAAAAGGACATATTTTGAAAAAATATATATATTAAGGACTAATATGTACTAAAACATTAAAGACTAAATGAGTACAAAATGAGAAATATATTACCTAATAAGTCATTTTTCCCGGCTAACATGGAGTAACCGGTCATAAGGATTGGATGTGTACAATTTAACAAGTTGAAGGGATAAATGTGGATGAAAAAAAAAAAAAAAAACTCAGTGACCAAATATGTACAAAAAGTCATTATCCCTAAAAGAATTGCAAAAATAGTCCTTATAGTTTATGTTATTTTTCGGCACAAGTCCACGAAATTTTCAACTTGCAAAGGTAAGGTAGTTGAGGCAGTTGAAAACCTCAACCTAACAACCACCTAAGCCTTGTTAAGTTGCCCATGAGCATCGCAGACGAGAATGTTTATGTCTTTTATTTTCTGTCTTTCTTTCTGATAGCATGCATTACCATCTATTCAAGATAATTATCCATATATTGCATTAATCACCCGAAAATTACAGTTTCCATTCCATATTCTTCTATAGTAACCCATCTCTAAAACCTTGAAACCCCTAAATGAATATATGATATACCTTAATCTAAACTTTATCATTTTTTGGTGTGCCGTTTGATAATGGTGTTGAGAATGTGGTCTATTATGCCAAAGCAATCAAGTGTTTGACATAAATTTTATATGATATAACATGTTATATTTCCCTTAAACTACTCTGAATACATAAAACTTGTCTCAAACCGATAAAAATGCTAACTTTAATCATTCTTGTTTTTATCTTTACAGAGAGTTAGTGTGACATCTCCATTTTCACTGCCAGAAAAGATCGATTTTGTTTATGCTTTATAAAATCAGAGTACCTCTTTTAATAAAAATGTTGCGGAATTTGTTTCCAGAAAAACATGATAAATGCGTTATGAAAGCATTTCCGATGAAATGTATTTTTATTCATTTTAAAACATTTGGGATGTCATCGCCAATACAGAAACATAAGCATAAACCGAACTTACATTCATTTATACTAGTGATATATATATATATATATATATATATATATATATATATATATATATATATATATATATATATATATATATCTCTTTTAAATCCCTCCGTGTAAACTAGCTTCATATTGACACCTGTGATACAATTCAACTGAGTGGGTCAGGTTGGGAAACCTGGTGAGTACATAGGGTTTTCAACCCACAATAATATAATTATTATGTTGATTCATCAAACAGTTAACCTAATTACCCATCCTCATTATCTTCTTTGCTCTTAAGGATCTACCCTAAGAATCAGCTATTTCTCGTTCATTCATTCCTAAGGATTATCCTAAGGAATAGGTACGAAGTCCATCGCTGTCAATGACACAGCTGTCAAGCATAGCTACTAGTTCTATCACTTAGGCGCAGCTGCCAAAATTATGACATCCTCTATGAGGCGTAGCTGTCGGTATTGTCCTTCAGGCGCAGCTGTCAGGTTTATCTCGTTTATTGACAGTATCGTTTTTTAGAGTCTACTCGCAATACATGTCAATGGGTTTTAGAGTACACCGGTGAACACATCATTCACAACACCTACATGTTACGAGCCTGTTAGTGTTCCACTGGGACTATCTAGAATAGTTTGTGGTTGTCATCCATACTCTGTTAGATGACGAGGCCAGCATTTGGGTAAAAGGCTTCTCACATCGTCCACCTCTCACCCTTACCTCATGGTCTATTTTACCTCTCATCTCATCATCCGACTCATATTCATCTACCCACGTTTTACCCAACATATTTTGTAGATATAAAATATATACATTTTAAATCTTTTAAAACATGTATAAAATTATTCATCCAGCATAGATAGCAAGTATACAGATAAGATGCACACATAGCACGTAATTTATATTAAATACTTCATATCTATGTGTAAGATGAAAGTAACTATGCACTCACTTGTTAAAGTGATTATTCCAAACTCGGGCAACGCTTCGCTTCTAATAATTCTATTTTCCTTCGACGAAACCTAGCATTATTATCGCTAAGTTTTAGTCTAATCTATATCGCGACTAATTATTAGTCTAGATTCATCATTAACTCAAAGTCTACTTTCATGATCTACTAAGGAAAAACCAGGTAGGATCATATCGGAGGTAGGGTCTGTTTGGTTTTTTGGAAATCTCACTTTAAACACCACACTAAATCACAGCCTAGACATCATCCCCGTAAGTAAATCAATCAGTATAACGACTTTGAATCATCGATAAATCTTATTTATAGGTTCATAATAACGATATTATTTTTAAACATAAGTTATATTTAAAGTAGGGTAGCCATAACTCAGTTATATTGGAGTTTAGCGAAGAATCGGGCTCTGCGTGGGCAGAACTTCTAAGCCGAAAGCTCTTCTTCTCAGGGCCTTCTGGCGCTCTGGGACTCACTACTAACTCCTAAGAAACACTAGAGAAAAGCCTTGAGGCTTTGGGGGTATTTGGGAGAGAAGTTGAGAAAATGTGTGAAGAAAATGAGGAAAAACGCCTCTATTTATAGGCTGTCAGCGCCGAGTATGCTAAGCGTACTCAATAATTACGCTGAGCGTAATGGGTTTTTAAGGGTTACACTAAGCGTACTCAAAGTTATGTTGGGCGTAATGTGCCACGTGTCACGATCTCATGCAAAGCCGTGGGGAAGAAGGTGCGGCTCAGATTGTGGCTCGTGTCACTCGCTGGTTACTCTAAAAACTAATTATCTTCTAATATCCGTAACTTTTGCATACGAGCTCCTTTTTTGACGTTCTTTACATCCACGCATAAGTGGGACCGTACTCTACAACTTTCGTTTAGACTTTGTTAGCTAATTTCGATTTTATTTTTAAAGTTATATTTTTAACATGTCAGGACAAGAAAATTCCGTTAAAAATTCATAACTTTTTCATCCGACGTCCGGTTTCATCTGTATTTTTACCGTTGAGCTACTATTAATGAGACCTTTGATTCTGTTGTGTCGGCTAAAAACCATTCGATCTAATATTCGAACTCCGGACTGTGTACTGCTGATCCGAAACTTAGAAAAATCATAACTTACATATATGAAGTCAGATTTGGGCGTTCTTTTTATGGACGATCTCGGTTTGATGTATAATACAACTTTAATTTAGATATCTAAGGATAAAAAGTAGTTTATCAAAAAAATCACTTTTACGATTCCTGATGTCATGCCGGTTTTGCCATAAAACTTCGACAAACCATAACTTCTTCGTTATAACTCGGATTTCAGCGTTCTTTATATGTACGGAACCCTTGTGGAATATACTATAACTTGGTTAAGATTATTTATTCGAAATAATATTCCATAAAAAAGTCATTTTTGACACTTATTGTCTCTAAATTAACTAGCTCGAATCTACAGTCGTTACAGTTTAGCCCACCATGTTTACATTGAACTCCATCATGGTGGGCAACTCATAAAGTTCCCATGGATGCTATATATTGAGGCCAAATAAGATACGTTTGTTTCATAAATGTATATGAGTTTTTATTTTCATGAATTAGACATAGTAATGATATAACTAGGTTATGTGGTACCCCTAGTATATATTACCACTTTTGTTTGCCCAACCTTGACTTGAATTTTGGACTCAAAACATTAAGCAACGATGTTGATGTGGTTAACATTGCACAATACATTAAGGACAATAAAACCATGCATGTTTACATTGTACTGTTGCATTTTATTCAAAATCGTTTTTCCAAAAATGCTAATAACGGCAACAGAAACTTTAAAATAGATAAACTTAAAACTCTTTTAACCCACCGATGATCATTTTGCAAAGCATGAAAATATTAACACAACCATAAGAAGAAAAAAATGCCATCTTTAAAGACTTTAATTCCTCTTGGGAGGTTGGAATTTGATGAAGATGGGAAAAGACTTCTAACAGAGCTTCTCTAGAAGTATTCACCAAGCAAGAGTAAACTACCAAAACATGCTAGTCTTCATTTGTATATATATTGTTCTTAAGCCTTAGGATTTCATACCAAATGAACCTTAAAGAGAAGCAACATATAAACCTTTAAATCTAGCACTATGTTGCAAGAAAGAAGAGAAGGGGAAAGAGCTCCAAATTCTAAAAAATGGCAGCCCTTATAGAGAGAAATATGCAAGAAAAGAACAGTCATATACTCTTGCAATGCACTCCTTTTATACTTACAAATATGTACCAAAGTCAATCTTTACATTAACTGAAAGTATGGCATGAAAGAAAGGGTGTGGCAGTGTAAGATGCTAAACTACACTCCAACTCTTTCTTCTCCTAGCAACTTGCGGATTTGAAGGAAAAGAAGTCAAAGGAAGAGTGTTTTTACATTACTCCTAACTAGTAGTTATATAGAAACTAAATGGTTACTATTATGTCCAAAAAAATCTACACAACATATATATTCATACCATATGATATTTACTAGTTTTTGTTCTCTTTATTATTATTTCCTAGAAACAATAATTCTCAATATGTTGGTAAAATATTATTTTCATAAAATAATATTTTCCAATTAAACACAAGTGTTGATATTTATTAGTAATCAGAATATCACACCCTGCCTAGCCATTGGTGGAAACATCGGTCAGTGTGACGTAGGGATAATTGGATCTTGGCAATAGGTACAATCAAACACAAAGATATATTTTTAAATATTTATTTACTATTGATTTTGAAGGATTACATTATTTTAGGGACATATACAAACTCCTGAAATTACTACACTAAACTTTGACAGCTTCCTTGCAAACTTCCTTCATACTCTGGGGACATTTTTCCATACTCATATTCTTGAGAGTACATGTATTTTGAAAGTCAACATGATGTTGGTGAGTGCACAAGTTTTTATTTTGGATTTTTGAATTTCTTTTAAGAATACTTTTCTTTAGTGAAATCTTTCTTATTTAATTATATAGTCTTTTATCTTTTAAGATATCTTTTATTGATCTTAAATGACTATCTTTTCTGGATTTCTAAAGATCCTAACATATTTTAATTAGGATTGTCTTTTGTTAATCCTAATTTACTATCTTTTCAGGATTTCTAACGATCCTAACGTATTATACTTATGATTGTCTTTTTTTAATCCTAATTTACTATCTTTTCAGGATTTCTAATGATCCTAACGTATTTTAATTACCATACCAGGCATCCCTAATGGTAATCTAAGCTCTAAGGCATTTTTAATATATATAGGAAAATGACATAAATGCCCTACAAACTATCTACGGTTGGTCGTTTTAGTCCCTAAACTATTTTTGTGGTTTTATGAGGGAACAAAGTCATTTTTGTCGAGTCGATTATGTTCTTTTGGTCAAAGTGAAGGGGTCATTCGGTTACCCCTTTGCCACGTTGACATTTGTTGACCAATTTTCCCGTAGTGACTTTGAGTTTCCCTTACCCTCGAACCCACATCTCTCTCTCACACTCTCTCTCTCTCTCCAATTCTTCCTGTCACCACTTATTTGTTTCTTTGCGTTTGTAAATATCATCTATCAGTTAACAATTTGAGTTTGTTGTTTTAGTTCTCAGCAAGTATCGCATTCTAGGGGAAATTTCTCTACAAATCTATTTACTTGTCCCCTCCCATCTTCCGGTATCATCAGTACGATGACCATAATTTGGCTAAGATCCAGAAAAATTATCTAGTTTCATACTCTTTGATGATAACATCAACTTCTAAAAACTATTTACTCTTATTTCCAGCCCTAACCTTTACTCACCCACCCTATTCTTACCTTCAAGCATGTTAATGGCAAGAAATTTCTTAAGAAGTGGTGTTGGAATCCTTTTTAGATTAATCTTTGATGGTTCACTATTGATTAAGATCTCTTCAGCTCTATCTTCAAGATCTATATCTCCATGGATTCGAGCATAGTTCACTACAACTTCATAAATTTCTGATGTGGGTTCAAACGGTAATGTCTGGATGTACTCCAAAGCTTGATCAAGGTGTCCAGCTTTCCCAAAAATCGCTAAACCCCCCCCCCCCCCCAATAATTTTCGATTTTTGGGGAAGTTCTGTATTCTTTTGCATTGATTCAAAGTGTATGAATCCTTCTTCAATGGCTTCAGTACCTGCAGAAGATTCAAGAACAACACGTAAGGTTTCTTCATTTGGTTGTAATCCATGGTTTCTCATATCTTCAAAAATTTCCAATCCATCATCTCCTAATCTGTTTGATGCATACCTGTTGTTTATCAGACGCAAAGTGTCCATTGTTTTGTCAGATATATGATCGAACATTTGGCGTGTGTCTACCATGCTTCCACACTTAGAGCACATGCATATTACTTTGTGAGTCAATTCGATTTCACCTCTGTAACTGAATCTCAAGAAGTAGTCATGGACATTTTTAGCATCCTCAAGTTTTATGTTAACTTAGTACTCATTAGCCAAATGGTGATGTTAATCCAATTTGCTTTCATTCTATGTTTTGGGTGATGTAGACCATTTTAGCCTCAAGGAAGAAGTACATGATACATAAAAGGATGAAAAAAAAAGCTTTGGAGTTGTTTGGAAATTTCTCTACAAATCAATTTACTGGATGCCATTGTTAATGAGGTCTTGAAGGTTTTTGCAAATCAACTAGTTAAGGTTTTTCCATATTTAAGACAAATCAACGATTGTGTTTGTCCGGATTTTGTACTCAAATTCCGATTGAATTTCTCCTGGAATAATGTTATCGAAATTGATTATGTGAAACGCTGAAGGAGACAAGATGGGGAAGTTTGGCTTACTTGACTTTTAAGTTTGACTATTTAGTTGACTCGGCTTTTAAAAATTAGTAAAATCAGTTTTTATATGTGTCATGTGGCATATCTACCTGCTAGTTTAGGTAACAGGACTAAAAAGACAAGTTTCTCACGACTTTGTTCCTTTATAAAGCCACAAAAATAGTTTAGGGACTAAAAGTATCAACCCTAATATATTAACGTGAGCCCCTATATTCGACGTTACGACCCTAAATGTACCCCTGATCACGACGCTTCATAGGACGTCGAATAATAACTTATATGGAAGGTATCCTGCCAGGATTGCAGCAAGCAATCGCAGGTGGGGTTGTCATGGCCCCGTATATATCTATACATAATTTCCTAGCTCTCTCAAGATTAATGATTATAGGTACTGGGGATATGCCGATTTCAATCAAGGCCTTTGGATGAATAACCAACTCACTAACGTATTAACCATAGGTTTTTATCTTTTATCTTTGTTATAGTTACCCCTATAAATACACACACACACATACACACACACACACACACACACACATATATATATATATATATATATATATATATACATCCCACTATCTTTATATATACCTCTTCCGAGTATATATCATTAAATGATCTATGTATGTATATATATATATATATATATATATATATATATATATATATATATCCTAATTATGGTTATTTTAACAGAATATTTGGGCAACGTAACAATTAAATACAATACATATCCTAAATCTTATCTAGCATAACTCCTAGGTACTTAAAGTTTCCTAGGGATTTGGCCATTATAACATCTAGGTATTACCTACTGCTAGATTATCGGGCATCATATCTTTTAGACACAGATCTTAGCTTAAATCAAGACATAGTATCTACAGTTATACTAGTAAGGTATATTGCTTGTAATAAATGACTTAATATTTATAAGATAAATATTTTTATAAAATCATTTGTTGATGAGGTCTTCAAGGTTTTTGCAAATCACGTGGTTAAGTTTTTTCCATATTTAACACAAATCAACGATTGTGTTTGTCCGAATTTTGTACTCAAATTCCGATCGAATTTCTCCCGGAATAATGTTATCGAAATTGATTGTGTGAAACGTTGAAGGAGACAAGATGGAGAAGTTTGGCTTACTTGACTTTTAAGTTTGACTATTTAGCTAACTTGGCTTTTAAAAATTAGTAAAATCAATTTTTATATGTGCCATGTGGCATATCTACCTGATAGTTTAGGTAACAGGACTAAAAAGATAGGTTGTTCATGACTTAGTTCCCTTATAAAGCCGCAAAAATAGTTTAGGTACTAAAAGGATCAACCCTAATATATTAACGTGAGCCCCAATATTCGATGCTACGACCCTAAATGTACCCTTGATCACGGCGCTTTATCAGACGTCGAATAATAACTTATATGGAAGGTATCCTACCAAGATTACAACTAGCAATCGCAGGTGGGGTTGTCATGGCCCGGTATAGATCTATACATAACTTCCTAGCTCTCTCAAGATTAATGATTATAGGAATTGGGGATATGCCAAATTCAATCAAGGCTTTTGGATGAATAACCAACTCACTAACGTATTAACCATAGGCTTTTATCTTTTAATCTTTTATCTTTGTCAAAATTACCCCTATAAATACATACACACACACACACACACACACATATATATATATATATACATCACACTATCTTTATATATACCTCTTCTGAGTATATATCATTAAATGATTTATGTATGTATGTATGTATGTATGTATGTATGTATGTATGTATGTATATATATAGATATATCCTAATTATGGTTATTTTAACAGAATATTTGGGCAACTTAACAATTAAATCACAATACATATCCTAAATCTTGTCGAGCATAACTCCTAGGTACTTAAAGTTTCTTAGAGATTTGGCCATTATAGATTATCGGGTATTATATCATTTAGACACTGATCATAGCTTAAATCTAGACATTGTATCTACAGTTATACTACTAAGGTATATTGCTTATAATAAATATTTATTAGATAAATATTTTTTATAAAATCATATGCTAAGCATGTATCCCCCCCCCCCCCCCCCCCCCCCCGCCTGAAAACATTTTAAAACAGTAAAATACGGGTTATGAACTCACTTTAGGGTTTGAAACAGCTGATGTAAGGTAGAGACAAACTCAGAACTCCACGGACCGCTCCACGAGGCAAGACGCGAACCAGAGAGAAAGAGATGAGTGTTTTGAAGGTGTGTCTGAGCGAATGGAGAGAGAAAGAGATGAGTGTTTTGAAGGTGTGTCTGAGCGAATGGCATAACCCTCTATTTATAGTCAAGTTTTAGGGGTGTGTGTTGTGTCTTTCATATGCGCGACGTACATTTGAACACTGTGGCTCTATAGGAAGTTGCCACATGTCCCCATCCACTTAGGCATGTCACTCGCAATCTGATCGAATCTGGTGTCAGGTTTGTGCCACGTGATGATGCGCACTTAACGCGCAAGTAAAGATTTTTCAAAAATTATTACTTCCTCGTGTGTGCTTCAATCTAGACCCTCTCTATATCTATGTGGCGATCTCAACAGGTAGTATAACTTTCCTTTTGGTTGTTTTGGCCGGTTTTGACTTTTATTTTCGAGCCAACGGGGGTAATAATTAATGATTTTATAAAAATCATAACTTACTCATATGGAACCCGTTTTCGACAAACTTTTTCCTAAAGTTTATATCTCGAGGAGTACTACGAAACTTCTTTTTACACTTTTAGTCAAAACCCAACCAGTCTCTAAGTACCATCGATGTAATTAATTTTAACTACGCGGTTGATTTCTATTTTTATAAAATCCATAACTCTCTTCTTCGGAGTCGTATTTTTATGAATCTTATATCCTTGAGATCACGTTATCGAGTACTATCCAAGTATGTTAACCAAATCGAAAAACGTCACAACTTTTTGATTGCTAATTTTTAGAGCATAATGGACGATTTTTAGTAAGTAAATGTAACAGCATATCTGATTCTTGTTATCTTAAAATTCAAATATTACAATGCTTTCTATTACATTTATTTTCCTATTATTTCCTAATGGTGACTAGTGACGGAATTTTATCAGGGTTGTTACACAAAATTACTGTAATAAATAATCAATTAGTAGTTACTTGCTATAGGCGTGACCCTATATGATCATATGTCATTAGCAAATATCATTTTATAATGTGTCTTGTGCATAAAGATCTTCCGTGTACATGGTAACATTAATTTGGTAACTTATTGCATGTCTCTAAGTGTTGAACTTAGGTTTATCGTTAAAGGGCATACCATATAATGAGAACATAGCTACACCTCTTTCACTAAAAACTAATTTCTAGGATGCAAGCTTTACGGCACATAAAGTTGTTCAAGAAAAATCATAATCAACTGATGATAATGGCTTCTTAGAAGAAGAATGCAATATCATAACATACGTTGACTTGGACATATTAGAGGTGTATATAATCATAGATAGTGTAACATCAGTAAAAATAGGCCTATAAATTTTTTCCATTTTTAATGAAAAATATTTTTTGGGAAAATAAAAAAAGATAAAAAGTTAATAAATAAAATATATGATAAATATGATAATAGAAACAAACTAGAAGTTTAATAAATTCAAACTAAAAAAATTATGAATAAATGGCCAAAGTTGTCAATACATAAAAGTTGAGATTTAACTCTTGTTGACAAGTTAGGATTTAAAAGTCATAAAATACATGAGGAGTGATTGTTTAGGAAAATATAAAGTTACTAGTTACTTTCGAAATTAAGATAATGGTATACATGTAGGCTTTTGAAGTTGAAGGACAAAAATTGTCAACTATACAAAACTTAAAGGGATAATTAGATTGTCAAGACCATATTGATAATATTAGGAAGATTTTAGAAAAAAATGTGTGAGAATAAGAATTTTCATTAAAACACTAATTAAGGTGTATATAAACTTGAGAGTTCTCTCATTTTGAAGACATAATTAGAATCTATAGGGAAATAAGGGGCAACCATGGACAAATTTTAAGTAATTCATGGTGTTTGGAAGGAATTAATTGTAGAATAAGCAATTCTTGGAAAGAGTGTCAAAGATCATAACTATTGGTAATATTTCTAGTAATAAGAGGGTCTTTGGGGTTACCCTCATGACCCAATTAAACAATAAGAATACAAATAGAATATATAAGAAATTAGTTTATAAATTTATCATGTTTTGATAAATTAATTAGAAACCATTTTGAAATTAATTAACTATAGGGATTGAATGTTAATTAATTAAAAGGTTTAAATAATTGGTGGTACATTGCAGAACCTTTAAGGATAAGGGACAATTTTAAAGGAAAAGCTCTATCAGGGGTTTTGAGTTGATTTGGGACTAAGCAACTAAGATCCATAAATAAGGAGCTAGGGATCAAACACTAGGTTCTCCTAACTCCAAAATTAAAGGGATTCTACTTTAGAT